CTTCTCCTCTCCTCTCCTCTTCTCTCCTCTTCTCTCCCTCTCTCTTTCTTTCTGTCTTCCTTTCTTTCTGCCTTCTTTCCTTCCTTTTTTTTTTCCCATTCATTTGGTGCTAAAATCTGAGACCAGTCATGTTCCCTTTCCCTTTCTTATTTCTTTTTTTCATCATTTGTGCATGGAAATCTGGGAATGGCAAAAATGAGCTCCCTTCTGGGAAACTCAGCGGATCTGAGCCAAGCTGCTAATCTGACTTTTCTAAGGTATGTATGGATTATGTGTTTCTGTTGGCTTCTGCCAGACACAAAACCTGATTCCAAATTCTGGAGTCTGCTTCTTCAGCTGCTGCCTCCCTCTCTCTACTTTCTAACTGCTACTCTCTGGCCTCTGGTCTGCTTCACCCACCGGGACATCTCCCTTTTCTCCTACGCTCCCTTCTCCTTCTCTCCTGGGTAAGTGTCACCACCAGCTGCCTGCTCTGTTTACTGTGGCTACAAAAGTAGCCAACTCATGCCTAGAACAGTGCCTGCACTCAACAGGAATGAGGAGCAAGATCAGATCTGGCAGAGTTCACAGTGTGAAGGTGATTATACAATTGCCACTGTCATTCTTCGTTTGGAGTATTCATCCCTTAAAGGGACAGGAAGATGTCAAAGAACGCAACACTCACACAAACAAGAAAATAATCCCTCTTACCCTGTTAAACGCAGGCGCTGTTCTAGGCACGAGTCGGCAAAAATGAGCTCAACAGCAGATCCAGCAATGACAGGGCCGAGATCATTTTTTATTTTTTTAAGTTTTTCAAGACAGGGTTTCTCTGTGTAGCTTTAGAGCCTGTCCTGGAACTAGCTCTTGTAGACCAGGCTGGCCTCGAACTCACAGAGATCCGCCTGCCTCTGCCTCCTGAGTGTGGGATTAAAGGTGTGCACCACCACTGCCTGGCCGAGATAATCTTTTGTAGCTAGCTACTGGAAGCAGATGGTTGTGTACATGTCCTTTATTCTCCTTTGGAGTGCGGTTAGAAGCAGATGCTCAGGGTGACTTTGGTGGTGTCCATCCATAGTGAATCAGATGGAATTTGCATCTGGTTTCTTCTCCTGGCCCTTCCCTCATTCTGTCCTCACAATTCCAACACCAGACCTGTGGATGCCCACAGTAGCAAACGGGAGCGCCTGCTGCCTTTTCTTACTTAGCAGACCCTCAGAACTTCCCCTAAGGAATGCCTATGACCTTGCCTATGACCTTCAGGCAGCTCTGAGTCCTGTGCAATTCAAACTGCTTTCGGGGAGAATTCAGAAAAGAAGGAACCTTGCTATTCAAACACAATCAATAAGCACACTGTGCAACCTAAGTTTAATATTGGTCTGGACCTTCAACAACAATACATCACAGGTTGAACATCCCCGCTCTGAATATACGAAAGAACTCTAACCTGCTCCACGGAGGATACAAGCTCATGCCTTGGAGAATGGTCAAAGGCAGCTGCTCTACAAACACCAGTCCGAGCCCTTCAGGCTCCGTGTACTGAGATAAATAAAGCACAAGGTGTGTGTTTAGACTCCGACTCTACTCCTAAGGTATTCATGTATATGCAAACATTCTAAAATATAGGACATTTCCAAAAGCTGAAGGAATTCCTGTCCTAACCATTTCCAATAAAGGCCACTCGATTTGTGTGACATCTGAAAATCTCCATTCACAAAACTTAATAAGTCTTCATGAAATTAATATTTTCTGTTCTTTATATATATATATATATATATTTTTTTTTCTGGACAAGAGAGGCTATTGATTTTGTTTTGACTGCTTTTATTTATTTACTTATTTTCAAAAAATGGCATGTCTGTGTGGTCTGTTTCATGTATGTGTATATTCTCAGAGCTGACCATTTGGTACTGAATAATCCACTGGCATGTTTTTCTCTGGGGAAGACTGTTTCTTGGCCTCTCAGTCTTCCTTAGTCTTCATCTAGGGTTGAGGCCTTCCTTGCCTTCTATTATCCACATTAGTGTGTTTATTGTTGCCATTCTTGTTCTGGTCCTGTTTAGGGAGCCTATTTTGATTGTTCTTGATCAAGGTCATTCAGTGACCTTGGAAACCATTAAGTTCTTTCCTAAGACCTTCAAGCCTTCAAGTGTTTGGTGACCCTGGAAAGAACTTTTATTGGAATCTGAATGGCGCTGGACATTTGTTCCTCCATCTTAATCTGTCGGGTCCCTGGTATCATGGCGTTTTGGCAAAGTTGTGGCCATGACCTCCTAACCAGCCTTCCTGTTACTACTACTGTCCTGTGCACCAAGTGGAGTGTTCCTTTTAAACACGAAATGAGAACATTTCCCTCAGAACATGCCAAATATTTGTTTATTGAACCTTCCAGGAGCTGACTCTGTCAACTCTTACATTCATGCCCTGCACACTCTCCACTTTCTCTGCGGCTCTCCAGACTTCACAACCTTCCTGGCATTCCTTTGCCAGGCCAGGCACACTCCCTCCCACTCTCTTGAATGCATTCCTGAGAGGTACACGCTCATTGCTTCACCTCCTTCGCTCATTGCTTCGCCTGCTTAAATGTTGCCCTAACAGCGGATATTCTGACTGCTCACCCCAAAGACCAATCCCACTCCCTCCCTGCTGGCCGTCTTTGTCATCCCCTTCACTTTCCCGCATTGCACAGGATACAAGTTATTCTAACTATGTGAAAATCTTCCTTGTCAGCCATGACTTTGAACATTTGGTGCCTGGCAGGTCCAAAGGAAATTTCATTACCCAACTTCTTGGTGGTTAGACAAAAACAAGCATTCCTCAGGAACTCGGGAAGCTGGTTCCCGTCCACCAAAGGAACCACTTTCCTTATCACTGGCAGAAGGGACAAATGGCTATCTGTGGTCCCTATCAGCATATCAAGGCACAGGTTGGCTTCCAGGCTCCCTCAGTATCACAAGTACCTGTTGCAGAGTGCATGCTGTTCTTAGCTCTTCTGGCTTATCTGTCCTCCTACCTTAAACTTCCCCAGGCCCAGGAGCTTCCCTCCCCCAGTTACTAGTTCTCCTTATTTTGGCTATGCTCTCCCTGTCTCTTGACCCCTTCTTGGTTCTTTTCCCTCTGATTCCAGATACCTCTGACTGTTTTCTCCCTTATGTCTTCAATAAACCCTTCCCTTGAACTATATCTTGGAACGGTCATGTCTTTAGTTCATACAGCACCCAGCTGGTGTCACCTCTTGGAAGGTTGTATGGTTTTAGGAGGTGGAAGGGCACTGGAGAAAGTGGGTCACTGGAGGTTTGTAAATTGCCCCTCCCCCCTTCTACTAACTCTGCCTCCCAACTGCTGTTCAAAGTGACTGCTGGGTTTCCTGCTCTTCCCACTGACTTTTCCATGCTGTGATGGAATGAAGCCCTTCAGCCCGTAAGCCAGAACAAACACTTTCTACCTATTATTGCTTCTTGTGAGGTACTGAGCGTGGTAAGAGCACTGGCAGAATCCAGGGCTTCTGGTATCTTCCTCATTTGTTCTCCAGCTTACCTATTAGATAGGCTTCCCTGGACCTGATGTTCACTGTTTTCAGTTAGGCTGGCTGGTAGGTGAGGCCTGTTTTGGGGCTACAGGCAGGTGCAGTCACATCCAGCTTTTTATGTGTGTTGAGGATCTAGACTCAGGCCCCCGTGACTGTCCTGTATCACATCCACGCAGTAGTCCTTCTAAGCAGGAGTATATTTCTACTGTCTTAGTGATCGCAATAATTCCTCTAAGACAGACACTGCTGGCACCCACGTGTTAAGCATTCTCTCTGGACAACACTCGTCTCAAGGTTTCCTCCTTCACTGCACAGGGAAAGCGTCCTTGACCCCTGCTCTCCAGTGAGGCCCGCTTTTCTTTCGGAACTACTTGGAACAGGCTATTCCTCATTGGCTACTTACAATAGAAATGTCCCATTCTGTAAGGGTTTTTCGATTTTACATGTGTGAATGTTTTGCCTGTATGTAAGCCTGTATACCATATTTGTGCCTGGTGCCAACAGGGGGCAGAAGCAGGTGCTGGATCTCCTCCAACTGGAGTTATGGATGTTTGTGAATTACCATGTGGGTACTGGGAATTGAACCCTGGCCCTCTGCAGCAAGATCAACAAGTACTCTTAACAACTGAGCATCCCTCCACTCCCTGACTCATTTTAAAATATTACTTTTAGAATTACTTTAAAGCTTAGATATATAAACTAGAAAATAATTCTATAGCAATAATGAATAGCAACAAGTGATGTATAAAACACATCAACTAACTATGAAAGATTGCCCTTGTGCTTCGATAAATGAATATCCAAATAAGTTTTGGTTTCAAAGAATTTTACTTAAAAATAATAAGTAATGCTCCATAAAAAAATATGTACAAACTTCCACTGAGAGGCTCTATCAAATTCTGTCAGCTTGAAGTAAACTCTAAAGTCCAACTTTGAGTAGCTGTCAGCTTCCCCATCAAAATGAGCCTTATAAACATACTATATACACGAACTTACAATTGTGAAGGCATATGAAAAAAAACTGCCCAACATGTCCCTTGAGGTGCTAAGGACGGAGAAGCAGCAACTGCAGGAAGCAAAGTTAATAGAGGAAAATTCACCGCTGGTAATGGACCCAGAAAGGATCTCATAAGCAACGATACATTCCTTTAAAAAAGTCTCAAAGTCTGCAGAGTAAACTCAGCAGTGCCCACAGGCTCCTTACACATGGATCTAAATCAAGACATTCCATGTCGTTAGTATCAGCTAAGGTACAACTCCTTTTCATGAAATCAAAGCAGAAAAACCAAGGAAAATCAGATCCTTCGCCGTCGGCTGAACTCATGTGGTCTTAGGATGGCTCCTTGGCATCTGTTGGGAGTCTATACCCAATCAAAGACTCCTTCCCATCGCCGCCATCCACAAGCACATCCACTAGCACGTGCGGTTTATCATAACCAAAGGAGGTGGGAGCCTTCCTCACCGGTGCGGGCTCTTGTTCTGGTGTCTTTGTTTCTGGGTTATTGTGCGGGAGGAATTCGGAGTCGGCTATGGAGCTGCCCGATCCCACGAGGCCGCTGTCGGAGCCGCTTCTGGAGTGGTAGAGAGTGAGGCTACAGGACTCCGACTGGTTACTACTCAAAATGGAAGAACTGCCTCTCTGTATTAGCATTGGAGGGCTGTCGGGGGCCACTGCAGTGCTTCCCTCGGGGATCATAGGCTCTGCTTCGCTGGAAAGTTTTTCGTGTTCTGTTGTTCCTGGGTCGCCTGGCAGGGCCACCGTGGACAGGTGCTCTTCACAGACCACTGTCTCATTCTCCAGCACAGCTGGCTGGCACGATGTGACAAGTGATGTATACTTGGATTCAGGTTTTGTCTCTGAGGTGGCATTTTTTACAACAGAGAGCTAAATTGTAAGAAAGCGAGTAAAGATAGAAAATTATTGAGCTTAAATGCCTATTAAAAAAGAAAAGGCCTAAAAAGCAAATGACTTATTTCAGAGAACATAGTTAAAATAAGCTCACTGCATTCTTTTTCTTGATCTTTTCGTTTGTTTGAGACAAGGTCTCATGTAGCCTAGGCTGGCCTTGAAGACACTATGTAGCAGAGGGTGACCCTGAACTTCTTTGTGACATGCCTGCTTTTACCTCCCAAGGGCTAGGACATAAAATGTGTGTCACCAAGTGCCCTGACTTTTCTATTTATTTATTTCTTTAGAGACAAAGTCTTACTACATAGCTCTTGTTGGCTTGGAACTCAGGCTGGCCTCAAACTCACAGAGATTTACCTGCCTCTGTCTTCCAAGTGCTGGGAATAAATGTGAGCCACCACACCCAGGTGGTCTTTTCTTTTTTAAAAATGATTTTAAGAGATTTATTTATTTTATGTATACAGTGCTCTATCTCCATGTACACCTGCATGCCAGAGGAGAGCATCAGATCCCAATAAAGATGGCTGTGAGCCACCATGTGGCTGCTGGGAATTGAACTCAGGACCTCTGGAAGAACTGCCAATGCTCTTAACCACTGAGCCATCTCTCTAGCCCTTGTCTTTCCTTTTTAATAGAACTTATTTAAGACTAAAAATATGACGTCATTAAGCATCTCATAAATGCACGTTGCCTTTAGCACACCGTCTTCTATGTGCCTGTGCAATGTAAATTTCATGCCAGGGATTTGGCATTTCTTTGGAGTGATGTTTTCTTTAAAAGGCACAGAACATTTAGAATCTTTCACACATTCTTATTTATGAAATTATTTCCTCAGGATAAACGATTGGAAGGATTATGTAAAAGGCTGCCATGCCAGCAGCTTCCTGGCAAGGCGCATACAGTTAATCATTGCTGCCACTGCTGCAGGGTCAGGTTCCTTTTCCTGCTCCCGCAAGGAAGGTGTGGCTTAAGACATGGTGGTCTCTTGCTTACCTCCTAGTGAGGAGGATGTATAGGACATATAGGCACTGTCTCCTCACTGCTGATAGTTCTCCGCCACCTTAGAGACGGCTTTGCTGCAGCAAATTCATGGTGCCCTCTGCGCATCACAGATGCTATTCTTGTCATCTCTGAATCAATGTGTCATCATTTTATTCCCCTTCAGCGCTCTTTAAACCATGTCAAGAGACTAGAGTGTGCCTACACTTCAATGTCAAATGGGATAGTTTCACTTTGGGCCATGTTGCCTTCCATAGGCCGGCTGCGATGAAATATTTGCATGTTTGCAGCTCTTCAGAAGCTAAGTTTTGGGGGCTGTAGGCTGGCTCTCCCATAGGCTGCACCTGAGGGCTAACACATCATTGTCTCTTGAAGAGTCATAACCAAGCCCATCCACCAAGTGGGGCAAGCTCTTCACTGGTCCACGCACAAGCCTCTGTGTACTGCGCACTTCCACTGATTGTACTACAGTGTACTGTTCCTTCTGGACCTTTAGCTCCTTACCAAACGTGTCAGCTTCCATCCTGGAAGTTATATAAAAAGGTACTGGGTACACAGTGAAAGATGTATGGCTTTGGATGTATGGCAGATCGAAAGGTTGGTTTTTAGTGAAAAGTACTATAGTGAGATAAATCAGAATACTCTTCATCAGAGCACATACAGCATTTTTCTCAATCATACTTAGTATCAAAGGGACTGTCAGAGAAGGTTCAAAGTAATGTTAGCGTCTATAATTAAATAAATGATTAAATATATTACCAAGGACTTAGGTAGCGCTATGCTTTTTCTTTTACATGGATTCTTCTTCATGTACCAGTATACAAATATCAGGAAAACAAATAAGGAAGAGATTACAAGAGCAGCAACCATAATCCAAGTCGAATCTAAAAAGAAAGAAAGAAACAAATAGAATACTTCTATTCTGCATCAAAGAAGTCTTAGTGCCATTCTTCAGCAGATGCACACGTTCATATCAGCAGTACTTGAAAGAACACTGGAACAGAATTGGGCAATGTGACTGGGCACATGGGGCTGTCCATCCTAGCTGGACGTCAGGCTCCTCCGGGGCTGCAGTTCTGAAGTTCCCTGGGACTACACTGCCCTGACACAGGTAGCTGAAACAGCTTCTTAAGCCTCTTCACAGCCTCACAGCAGGGTGTGACCAAGGGATGCTTTCCCCTCAGTTAAAAAGGCATTTTAAAAATGCCCTGCCTTGGGAGAAATAAATTCCAGCAACACTGCTGATAACTCTTAAAACAATTCAGCCCTGTTCCTTCCTCACCACTTAAACATCCGAAGACTCCTGTGCCTGTAACAGCACAGAGGAGCGGCGCACACACACACACACGCTCAGGCCCACGGAGGAGCAGGCACAGCAGTGAGGATTGTGTGCGCACATAGCCTTTGTGCAGTTTGTTATTACTCTGCTCTCCTATTCTCAAAACGTCATCAGCAGCATCTCCCAGAGTCCTCTCTTCTAAAAATAAACAGTGGTCTAAATACTGTGACAGTGTGTATCTCCTTAACAGCATCGCATGACTCTAATTCTGCTCTAACGCTGCTTCTCTGGAATAATAATTACATGTTACAGATTAATGAACACTTATACCATGTCTACTATGGGCCGTGGTTAAACAAATACATCATTATTTGCTTATATATATCATCATATAAACCATTATAATATTACATCATCACAATAGCAATAAATAAAAAAACAAAAAAACACAAAATAATGATTATCAGTGTTGCATCAGAAGTCCCATTGAAATCCCACTGGGCTAAGGAAACAGCCTATATGTGACAAGGGACAAAACAGTAGCTAAGTTGCTGCCACCATGTGACCACTAAATCAATTCCTCTTTTTGTTTGTTTGTTTTTAAATTTAGACTTTTTACAAAATTGGATTTGGGATAAGTGCATCAATTTTGAATATAAAGTAGGATTTTTTGTTTTCCAAATTGCTTAATGCACATTAGCACAAAATGCACTGCACTGTTTTTCGTCATATTTGAAGTTTTCATAGAATGGCCTAAAAGTTATTAATATTAAATTTTACACGTATGGTCTAAAATTTCATTCCCGATTTCCATCATTCAAAAAAGACACCTATCGGGCTGAAGGAATAGCTCAGTGGTTAAGAGCACTGGCTACTCTTCTAGCGGGCCAGGGGTTAAATTCCCAGCACCCACAAGGCTGCTTACAATCATAGAGTCCGAGGGGATCTGATGCCCTCTTCTGGCCTTCTCAGGAACTGCATACACGTGGCCCATAAGGCAAGCACAAACACACAACACCCATATATATATATATATAATAAAAATTTTTAAAAATGATAAATGAATACAGAAAAGGTACAGGATACAAAATCCACAGCATCAATATTAAATTTGATGAAAAGAGGTAATTCAGGATAACAACCAATACAACAGATCTTGGGATTTCTGCAGACAGTAAGTTATTCAGGTCACTGCTTCCTGTGTTGCCATAAAGTCAGTTTATGATACCTATCACCTGCTAAATTTTGCTGATAAGGTAATTATGCTCATATTATTTAATGGCCCCAAACTAAGTTGAGCATAAGGACTATAATGGTCTGCTCTGCCCCTTTAAGAGACAAGCCACACCCATTCCCTTCCCTGTCTGCCCAGGCAAGCTGATCTTCAGCTTCCAGCCTGAGTCTCCTCTCTTTTCCATCTCTCCCCTCAAGAGGCTTCTGCCTCGCTCCATTCTCCCCTCCCCCGTCTCTCTTTCTCTCTCTCTCTGCTTTTCCCTCTTCTCCCCTGATCCCCTCTCCCCTTCCCTTCCATAACCCACTAAATAAATATCCAACCTCACTCTGCATGGCGTGCCTATCCACGTCTCTGTCTCTCGCCCGCTGCGTGGCTCCCTGCCCAGGACCAGCCGCCTTCGGAGACCTGCGGCATGGTCTCGTGGCGTGCCCATCTGTCTGTCTCTCCTCATGGGACTCGCTGCCCCTCGTGGCCCACTGCAGCCACTTGGGGAGCTGTGCCATCCCTGCCTGGGACTGGTTGCTCTCGGGACCCCTGCCCACTGCCGCCGCTTGGGGACCTGCAGCATTTCTGCCACTGCAGTCACTTAGGGATCCATGGCATTTTTACTTAATCCATTACAAGGACAGCATTCTTAGTGGCTATGTGAACATGGGAACATTCTTTTATCAATGTATCTATCTACTGTTTTCTGATGACTAGCGTCTAAATGGGAAGCATATTGGCAATGTTTTACATTAAGGGATTACTGACATAATCTCAGCAGAAGGGTTAAATCTTGTCATAAAACATTTATTAAGTTAGCATAAGTTGTACATAGTTCTATAGGGCCATGATAAATGGTCAGTATTCAGATAGGTTTAGTTTACACTTGTCATTGGTATTCTAGTAAACCGTAAGGAGTTTTGTTTGGGTTTTAATTACTGACTTTTTTTTCTGTTAATGTATTATTGGCAAATTGGTATGGTCCTGGATTCTATAAGAAAGCAGTGCAAGCAAGCCATGAGGAGCAAGCCAGTAAGCAGCGCCCCTCCATGGCCTCTGCCATCAGCTCCTGCCTCCCGGTTCCTGCCCTGTTTGAGTTCCTGTTCTGACTTCTTCAGTGATGGGCTATGATGTGGAAATGTAGGCAAAACAACTGGTTCCTTTTCCTCCTCAAGGTGCTTTGGCCATGGTGTTTTACCATAGCAATAGAAACCCTAGCTACTAAGACAGACGCTGGGCAGCTTCAGTGTACTCTCACCGAAGAACCCACGCTCAGAAGAGTACCTCACCTTCAGTCAGAAATGTGAAGACATGTGCCATTTTTTTTCCCATTTTTACTATTGTTGACATAAAAACCAGAGCTCTCACCTTAAAGAGAACAAGAGACAGTTTATTCTTGAGTTACTATGAGTGACCACAGACCAGGAACACAGATTTACTTCATCCAAAATTCCATGTTCCAGTGTGGAAGCAGCTTCAGAAGGTTTTTAGAGTTTTACAGAATGAAAAAAGTCGTAAGTCAAGGTAAGTTTAAAATATGCTGGTGGGTGCACCAGAGAGGCAGGCACGTGGAGATGGGGGGGGGAGGCTGTCTTACAGGGCCCTGCTGACGGTAGGTCCTAGCCCTTGGACTGGCGGAAGCTAGTGTTCTAAGTTAACAGCTTCTGAGATTTTTACTTATTTTCACAAGATGTTAGTTCAGATTCAGAGTGGGGCAAGACATGGCTGTTCCAGAATGCGAAAACTAGACCAAGATAAAGTAATCTGCTGCTGACTCTCCAGAATTCCAGTCTCTCCATGGTACATTTTCCAGTGACTATTTGAAGGACAGACACCTGTGTGCATGATTTTATTAATTTGTTACGTATCTTTCCTTTCCCGGGTCACTCATCTGGTGGTTTCCTAATTTGGTTGCTGTAGTATATCTCAATGCCAGTGAAGCTGTCTTGTTTTTAATTAGGAGCTTCTCTGGGGAAAGGATGTTGTATATTTTTAAAAGAAAAGATGTGCGTAAGTTGTAAAGCATCTCGTTTCCTGCACACTGCCGCACTTGAGTTAGCACTCTGTCTTCAGCTGGGGGAAGGCAAGTGCTTACCCTTTCTGCTGTTTCTGCTGTTATGGACAAGGGAAACACAGACGTCCTCTGATTTTTCTGTTGTAACGTCCCAGAATTCTGAGAGTCCATCTACCGAGACACAGTATCTGGAATCCAGTGCGGACACTGAGATGTTGAACTGGCACCCATCTTCATCGCAATCCTCCATATTGATGGGATGACTTGTATATAGGACCTACGTGGAAAAACCACAACATGAAAGTGTATGACTTCTTTAATCTGTGGGGGACAATCATTGCATTATCCTAGGTAAACACTGAAGGAAAATATGCAGAGAATGAACATGAACTTCGAATCAGCTTTGATATCAAATAATAAGTCAGCCAGTGATGTCAACACAGCATGGGGAAGTACATCTGTTAAAATGTTCTCTATGGGAACAGGTATTGTTTAAGACTTGGAGATTCTAAGGGTTC